TAAAAAGAATTATCCACCATGATCAAGTGAGATTCATTCCTGGGTTACAGGGCTGGTTCAATAGTCACAAATCAATCAATGTGATACATCACATTAACAAAAGAAAAGATAAAAACCATATGATCCTGTCAATAGATGCAGAAAAAGCATTTGACAAAATACAGCATCCCTTCTTAATAAAGACTCTCGAGAAAGTTGGGATAGAAGGAACCTACTTAAACATCATCAAAGCCATCTATGAGAAGCCTTCAGCTAACATCATCCTCAACGGGGAAAAACTGAGAGCTTTCCCCCTGAGATCAGGAACACGACAGGGATGTCCACTCTCACCACTGTTGTTTAACATAGTGCTGGAAGTCCTAGCATCAGCCATCAGACAACAAAAGGAAATCAAAGGCATCAGAATTGGCAAAGAGGAAGTCAAACTTTCACTCTTCGCAGATGACATGATACTCTACATAGAAAACCCGACAGACTCCACCAGAAGCCTACTAGAACTGATCCAAGAATTCAGCCAAGTTGCAGGGTACAAAATCAACGTACAGAAATCGGTTGCATTTTTATACACCAATAATGAAGCAACAGAAAGAGAAATCAAGAAACTGATCCCATTCACAATTGCACAAAAAACCATAAAATACCTCGGAATAAACCTAACCAAGGATACAAGAGATCTGTATGATGAAAACTATAGAAAACTTATGAAGGAAATTGAAGAAGACACAAAGAAATGGAAAAACATTCCATGCTCATGGATAGGAAGAATAAATATAGTTAAGATGTCATTACTACCTAAAGCACTCTACACATTCAATGCAATTCCAATCAAAATTGCACCAGCATACTTCTCAAAACTAGAACAAACTATCCAAAAATTTGTATGGAACCACAAAAGACCCCGAATAGCCAAAGTAATACTGAAAAATAAAACCAAAACGGGAGGTATCACCATCCCAGACTTCAGCCTCTACTACAAAGCTGTCATCCTCAAGACAGTATGGTATTGGCACAAAAACAGACACATAGACCAATGGAACAGAATTGAGAACTCAGAAGTGGACCCAAAAGTATACAGCCAACTGATCTTTGACAAAGCAGGAAAGAATATCCAATGGAAAAAAGACAGCCTTTTTAACAGATGGTGTTGGGAGAACTGGACAGCAACATGCAGAAGAATGAAACTAGATCATTTTCTCACACCATGCACAAAAATCAACTCAAAATGGATAAAGGACCTGAACGTGAGACAGGAAACTATCAACACCCTAGAGGAGAAAGCAGGAAACAACCTCCTTGACCTCCACCGCAGCAACTTCTTACTTGACACATCCCCAAAAGCAAGGGAATCAAGAGCAAAAATAAACTGTTGGGACCTCATCAAGATTAAAAGCTTCTGCACAGCCAAGGAAACAACCCAGAAAATTAATAGGCAACCAACGGAATGGGAAAAGATAGTTGCAAATGACATATCAGATAAAGGGTTAATATCCAGAATCTATAAGGAACTCACCAAACTCCACGCCCGAAAAACAAACAACCCAGTGAAGAAATGGGCAGAAGACATGAACAGACACTTCTCCAAAGAGGACATCCAGATGGCCAACAGACACATGAAACGATGCTCAGCATCCCTCCTCATCAGGGAAATACAAATCAAAACCACATTGAGATACCACCTCACGCCAGTCAGAGTGGCTAAAATGAACAAATCAGGAGACTCTAGATGCTGGTGAGGATGTGGAGACACGAGCACCCTCCTACACTGTTGGTGGGAATGTAAACTGGTGCAGCCCCTCTGGAAAACAGTGTGGAGGTTCCTCAAAAAATTAACCATAGAACTCCCCTAGGACCCAGCAGTAGCACTGCTAGGAATTTACCCAAGGGTTACAGGAGTGCTGATGCATAGGGGCACATGTACCCCAATGTTCATAGCAGCACTCTCCACAATAGCCAAAACATGGAAAGAACCTAAGTGTCCGTCAATGGACAAATGGATCAAGAAGATGTGGTTTATCTATACCATGGAATACTACATGGCGATGAGAAACAATGAAATCTGGCCATATGTAGCACAATGGATGGACCTTGAGAGAGTTACGCTGAGCAAAATAAGTCAGGCAGAGAAGGACAGGTACCATATGTTTGCACGTATAGGAGGATTAGGAGGAACTTAACGGAGGACCATGGGGAGAAGAAGGGGAAAAATAATTGGTGAGAGGGAGGGAGGCAAACCATGAGAGACTGTTGAATGCTAGAACAAACAGGGCTGATGGGAGTGGCAGAGAGGGGAAGTGAGGTGACGGGCATGGAGGAGGGCACTTGTGGGGATGAGCATTGGGTGTTCTATGGAAACCAACTTGACCATAAACTATTTAAAAAAACTAAATAAATAAATGTTAAAAATTTAAAAAAAAATAGATAAACATAGATGCAAATATCCCCAACAAAGTACTACCAAACCAAATCCAACAGTACATTAAAAAAAAATAATTCACCATCAAGTAGGATTCATTCCTGGATCACAAGGGTGGTTCAATACTTAGAAATATATCACATTAATTAAAGAAAGGATAAGAACCATATGATCATTTCAATAGATACAGAAAAAGTATTTGACAAAGTACAACATCTATTCATGATAAAAACCTTACACAGAGTAGGTTTAGATGTAACATACCCCAACATAAAAAAAGGCCATCTATGAAAAACCCACAACCAATATCATCCTCAATTGGGAAATACTGAGAGCTTTTCCTCCACAGTCAGGAGCAAGACAGGACTGTCCACTCTTACCACTGATATTTAACGTAGTACTAGATTTCCTAGCCACAGCAATCAGATAACAAAAAGAAATAACAGGAATCTAGATCAGCAAGGCAGAAGTAAAACTTCCACTATTTGTAGATGAAATGATAACTCTCTATAGAAAACCTGAAAAACTCCACCAAAAAACTGCTAGAACCGTGAAATGAATTCAGTGAAGTCACAGGATACAAAATCAATACACAGAAATCTGTTGCACTTCTATACACCAATAATGAAACAACAGAAAGAGAAATTAAGGAATCTATCCCATTTACAATTGCAGCAAAAATGATAAGATGCCTAGGAATAAATCTAACCAAAGAGATGAAAGACTGAAAACAATATTGTTCTCTGAAAACAATAAAACACTGATGAAAGAACCTGAAGATGACACAATGATTTGAAAAAAACATCCCATGCTCATGGATCAGAAGAACAAATATTGTTAAAATGGAATTTACTTTAAAAAAATTCTTAAGTAGCCTGTCTAGTTCATTAATTTCTAACACTTTTCTAACTGAATAAAGTTTTAGGTTTCAAAATACTGCTTAGCAGCAGCTAAAAGTTTTGATATGTAGTATTTTTCCTGTTCTTTATTTCTTAAAATCTACTCTCCAAAAGATTTCTTCTTTATTCCATAGATTATTGAGAGGGGTATGTGTGTGTGTGAATTTCAAGCCTATGAGGTGTTTTTTGTTATCCTTTTGTCTTTTATTTCTGTTACTGCGTTTTAATCAGAAGAGACAGTCTCTACATCTTCTGATATTTATGAAACTTTCTTTCTGGCCTAGAATGTGGTCCATTTTTAAAATCTTCATTGTATATCTTAGAGATGTCTCTCCATTAATGTATGTGTATACACTACATTAGAAAAAATATATTGTTGGTGTACCTGAGTGGCTCAGTCAATTAAGTATCCAACTCTTGATTTCAGCTCAGGTCTTATTCTCACCATCATGAGATAGAGCCCTGCTTCAGGCTCCACACTGGGCATGGAGCCTGCCTGAGATTCTGTCTTCCTCTCTTTTTGCCCTTCTCCCCCTCCCCCACTCATACTCTTTCTCTCTCTCTCTCTCAAAAAAATAATAAATTGTTTATTCATTCCCCTTTGATGAAAATGTGTTTCTTTCTGTCTCTTCTTCATGATCACAAGCAGTGCTATATACTTTTTCTTTGCCGTCAGTCCCCCAAGAGCACCCCCACATTCAGAGATTTGCTAAAAGGACACAAGTAACTTAGCATATAATTGTACCTGTGGCTATAATTTATTACAACGACATAGTGAGGATTCACAGCCAGGTGATGAGGAAAAAAGACACAGGCAGAGTCTGGAAGAATCGATAAGTAGGCTTCCTTATGCCCCTTCTCTCCCATGAGGGGTCACACAGTAACACTCTTCACCCAGCAACAAAAATGCAGCAACATGTGTTTATGTTTCCACCCTGGAAATTCCACTACACTTAGCATTCAAGAATTTTGTTGGAAGCTGGTTACATAAGGACCCTATGCGTACCACATACCAAAACTCTAGACTCCCAGAAGGAAAGCAAGTTGAGTATAAATCATATCATTTGTGTAAGCAGTCTAGGCACAGTGAACTGCCTTTAATCAGTTAAGGAATGGTGGGAACACTTCCAAAATCCAAGCACCAAATAATAGTCAAGAGCTATCCTTGCAAGCAGACCTTTCTAAAGATAAGTATCAGGCCTACTATGTTAACTCATCCTATACACCTTCTTACGTACACATGCAAATATTTTTCAGAGTAGACTGACAAACTGTGAAGGGAGGGATCATACAGTCCAATAGGTGTGTATTGAATTCAATTGGACAGAGCCTATGGGAAAATACCATGTAAGTTTCAAAGAAATTACTTATGAATTAATTTTTATAGCATAATCCTATTCATGAATTGAGATTGCCTATAGTTAACGAGCAATATTATACACTCTAAAGAGAGACTAAACCTCTAAATAGTAGTCTCAGTTAAAAAAAAAGTTCTAATCTTCATTTAATATAACAAGGAATTGAGAAATCTTTCAAAAAGGGAGCTCATATTTGTATCATCAAACACTACACATTAGCTATTATCTGTCATTTTTGGTACCTATGTTAAATTTCTTTCTCTATAAAGGTTAATCTTTGAAATAAAAGGTTTTTTAAAGAAATAAATTGTTATTTTCAACTTTTTTCAGATCTGTAGAAAAACACTACATCGCCACATGCTCATATTTCGGCTGCCTAACTTACAGATGTTAGATGGAATTCCTGTGAATTCAGATGATAGGGCAAAAGCTGAATTTCACTTCTCTGAACTCCAAGCAAAGAAAACTTCGGTAATACTTCTATTATTTATACTTTTCCTTTTAAAATATATAATTATTAGCAAATTAAAACCAATTTATTGGGTAAATCTGGGCTATGATGGTTTTTGTTTTTTGTTTTTTGTTTTTGTTTTGTTTTGTTTTGAGAGAGAGAGACAGCGTGAGCAGGGGAGGGTCAGAGAGAGAGGGAGATACAGAATCTGAAACAGGCTCCAGGCTCCGAGCTAGCTGTCAGCACAGAGCCTGACGGGGGGCTTGAACCCACGAATCGTGAGATCATGACCTGAGCCGAAGTCAGACACTTAACCGATTGAGCTACCCAGGTGCCCCTGGGCTATGATGTTTTGGTAGACCATTTTAATATCTATTTTAGTGATTACTATCAAAAAGCACCGTGATCTAGTGAATAGAGCATATACATACACACTAATTTCAGGGAAGCTCCTTTTTCTAATAATGTAGTTTGATATAAAGAAAATTTATTTGGGGCGTCTGGGTGACTCAGTCGGTTAGGCATCCAACTTCAGCTCAGGTCATGAGCTCACAGTTTGTGGGTTGGAGCCCTGCATCGGGCTCTGTGCTGACAGCTGGCTCAGCCTGAAGCCTGTTTCGGATTCTGTGTCTCCCTCTCTCTCTGACTTTCCAATGCCCACGCTGTCTCTTTCTCTCAGAAATTTAAAAAAATAATATTTATTTAAAGTCATGGGGTGCTTGGGTGGCTTAGTCAGTTAAACATGCGACTTTGGCTCAGGTCATGATCTCATGGATTGCGAGTTTAAGCCCTGCTTTGGGCTCTGTGCTGACAGTGAGAAGCCTGCTTCAGATCCTCTGTCTCCTTTTCTCTCTGCCCCTTCCCTGCTCTCTCTGTCTTTCTCTCAAAAATAAATAAATATTAAAAATAAAATAAAATAAAATCTGTGTGCCTCTTGCTCAATATGTGAGATAATACTAGATGGTACAAAACTATAACGTATCACTTCTATAAACAGAAACTAACAAACTCTTTCAGTTTAGCAGATAGGAAGGGAAGGAAGGAGTTCTGACCTCAACACTCTGGACTATATAGTTCATCTAACAAGGGACATGTGTGCTTCTTTTCTTGTCATCCAGAATAATTGCACCTTTTACCCATGAACCCTAAAAAGGTATCTGACCATGACATGAAAGAGTTTAGAGAGAGAAGCCACAAAGTATACCATTAGGAAATTCTGTCTTTGGCCACCAGGATTCTTCATGACCATCCTGCAAAGACTAAACTTAACACAGAAAAGCTATGGTTTTTGAACAAAGAAGTAACCTTATTAGAGCTGTGCCTTTGCAAGGCTTGAGAAAGAAGAAGCTGGAAGCAGGGAAACCAGTTAAGAGGCTTTTAGAGATTATGAAAACCTAGACTAGGGTGGGCCAGTTAAGCAGGTAAGTGAACCTTCAAAGTGAATGAAAGCCACAGAGCAAGGACATCAGTCAGTTAACAAATATTACCTTTGAAACTCATATTGAAAAGAAAAGATTACCATAGATGCTTTCACATAATCAATAGATTACCCAGCACTCTCCATCCTTTCTGAAAAAAAAATCAATTCCCAGAGCACACTGGAAGTTTGATACTAGAAGGCTCTTCTCCAGCCCACTTCTGCCTTCAGCAGTAGATTTACACATTTATCAAGAGCTGGCTGTTTGGTCAAAAACTTATATGTGAGTTCTCTTATCTTAAATAAACAGATATGCTCTAAATGCAAATTTTAAATTACTACTTAGGTATTTCTATGAAAATCAAAATGGGGTACTTCGGAAAATCTGGATAAAGAGCAAATCACACATACACAGACAAACAGTGTCAAGTAGGTTGGGAGAAAAATCTTGTAAAATATGAGAAAAAAATACACAAATTCAAACACAATATGTGGGGAAATTATTTTAAAAGTTTTGGTGTTCAAATTTTCTCCACATGTCTTTAAATTCTTACTACTTTAAAGAAACCAAAACTGGAAATTGTAGGCAAAACTTTAAGGATGGATTTATCTAAGAACAATCAGATAAAATATAAATCAAGGGGTTCTTACAGAAAAGACCTTACCCCTTCATCACAAGATTGATGAGTACATGTACATTTATGTTTCATGTCTAAAAATAGGTGCATCTGGGTGACTTAGTCCACTAATCATCTGCCTCTTGATTTCGGCTCAGGTCATGATCTCATGTGTGTGAATTCAAGCCCTGCATGGGGCCCTGCACTGATGGTGGGGAGGCTGCTTGAGATTCTGCCTCCCTCTCTCTCTGTCCCTCCCCTTCTTGCTCTCTCTCTCTCTTAAAATAAATAAAAATCAACTTAAAAATTTTTAAGTAGATTTAAAAATCAAACATGAATTATACATATAATTCTTAGTTATTCCCTGATTTTTTTTCATTAACCTTGACTTTTTCTGGTTAACAAAGGAGCTTCTATTATAGGTCAAAGTAGACACAGAGACCTTCAGGACTTAAAGTTGTACAATGTTAATAAAGATTATCTACATTAGGCAAAGGAGGTTGGTTCATTTGTAGGTTATATCTACAAAAATTGTTTTAAAAATTATGCTTTGTGAAAAAAAGTCTTAGCTACTAATTTGTATACTAAGAAAGAACACCATCTAATATGATCCACTGAGATTACTGTCACAGGTCCCAGTCTTTCAAAAGAGAGCGAGCAATAAAAATTTAGGTCAGTGATGTAAGGCTCCTTTCCCTTTCTCTATTTTATATTCCCGGAGTAAGTAATTTCTTACTTCCAGAAGTGGAAAACTAAAGGAAACTTGAGTTTCCCACTGTTGCTGTAACAAATTACTCAAATTTAGTGGCTTGAAACAACACAAATGTATTATCTTACAATTCTGCAGGTCAGAAGTCCAAAAACTGGCCTTACAGGGCTAAACACAGGCAGTTAGTTCTGCATTCCTTCTGGAGCTTGAGGAGAGAATTTGTTCTTTGCCTTTCCAAACTTCTAGAAGGTATCTGCATTCCTTGGTTCACAGTCCTCTTCCGGCAATAGCATCGCTTCCACCCCTGATTCCATCTGTACATCTTTGTCTCTTACCCTTCTGACTCCCCTCCCTCTTATACGGACTCTTGTGATTATACAGAGACCACCTAGATAATCCAAGATCATTTCCCCACCTGAAAATCCAATGTAATTATGCCTGCAAAGTCCCTTTTGCCATGTAAGGTAATGTATTCACAGGTTTTGGAGATTCGGATGTGGACATCTTTTGGAGCGGCGTTATTCTGCCTCCCAAACCACATTGGTCTCAGTGAGAGATCTATAAAAACTGTCATATTAAAATTTATAAATTGCATTTAAGGTAATGTTGGCTAATTTGAAAAATTACATATAAATTCACCAAATTACATATAAGAAATCACTTAGAACAACTTTAAAGATCCTAATTTCTACATATATTTTTTATTAGTTTCATGGCAGAAAAAATACACAGACTAGAATTCTAGTGGATAAGTATTTCACTAAAGGGTTTGCTTCTTGGTTATTCTTTTCTATTTTTCATATAGTGAATTCAGATTTTTCCCATTACTATATATGATATGATAATATGTCTTGAGTGAATCTAGACATGTAGTGTTGCCATTTGAATCAGTGTCATATATAAGAATTTAATTATTTTTCCACTTATTCTACATGTAAACATTTTATTTAAAAATCACTTTTTGATTCATCTATACATGGTTAATAAGATAAAGGAGATATTCAAAGTCTTTATTTTAGAGAAATCCTTTTTTAGGTTTATTTTTTAAATATTATAACGTTTATCTATTTTTGAGAGAGAGAGAGCACGCACACATGCACACATAAGTGGGGGAGGGGCAGAGAGAGGAGACACAGAATCCAAAGCAGGTTCCAGGCTCTGAGCTGTCAGCACAGAGCCAGACATGGGGCTTGAACCCACACATGGTGAGATCAAGATCTGAGCCAAAGTCGACCCTTAACCAACTGAGCCACCCAGGGGCTCCTCTTTATTTTTAACTAATCTCTATACCCAGTGTGGGGCCTGAACTCATAACCCCTGAACTCATAACCCTTAACCAACTGAGCCACCCAGGGGCTCCTCTTTATTTTTAACTAATCTCTATACCCAGTGTGGGGCCTGAACTCATAATCAAGAGTCACATGCTCTTCCAACTGAGCCAGCCAAGTGCCTCAGAGAAATCTATTTCAAGAGTCAATACCAATGCTTATTTTCATGGCTAGGCTAAAATTGAGCCATCATTTCTTTTAGTTATTCAGAAGACACAAAAACAGAATCCTTTTCAAGTTTATCACTTCAGTCTAATTTATTTTTCTTTCAGTTACTGCTGTTTTTCTTTTTTAACAGCAAGTAAAGAAGGAAAAATTAACTCTAAAGTTGTCCCTTAAACCAAAACATTTTCGTCCTTTTGGTTTCAGAAGATTTGACAACCTTCTAGATTAGTGGTGGGAAGAAACTCTACAAAGGAATTAGTTAGGGAATTTGGGACTGAATATCTTTAGTGAAAAGCCTGATACTTTAGTGCTCATTACAAAGCTGCATTCTTGGTAACACTTATTAAAACAGGGAAACTGGCCATTTTACGCAAATGGCAAACACTTATATCTCTAAATAAGTTGAATCATCTATTCAGAATTTATATTTTTAAAGTATAAACAAGGTCAGTCTTAATGAAGACAAAGCAAGCATAAATTTCTAGGGAAACTAAGAGTTTCCAACCTAAAATACTTCTCTCCTCTGTTTGCTGATTCCTGAAATTCTTCTAAAAGCCTCTTAATCCTCAAGTAACTTAAAATGTAAACACCATTTAGAGAGTTAGCACATTCATTAAAAGTGATTGTTATAAGATGCTTTTCTTAGTCCCCACTTATTTACTTGTTTTTGAAAACCTAATTAACTGCAAGACACCTGATGAGGTAATGTGAGAAATATAAAGATGTCAAAGATATAATTCTTACCATCTAGAAATTCCTGCTTGGTAAAAAAAAAAAAAGAAAGAAAGAAAGGAAGGAAGGAAGGAAGAAAGGAAGAAAGAAAGAAAGAAAGAAAGAAAAGAAAGAAATGTTACAAAGGAGAAAAAGCTTAATTCTCATTTTCTTAATTTTACACTTACCTTGTTGAAATCTTTTGGAGAGGGGGAGATGCCATCACACTACTGATGAGTACAGTACAATCTGAAAAGATAGAACATAAGGTTCGGAGGGAAGTTAAGAGATCAAAAGACTGTTTCCATTTCTGCCTTATACCAACTCAGTTTAGGCATATAACTCCTGACCTAAAGAATTTTAAATTGATTATCAAGTGGGGCTTGTAGTAAGGACTAAATCTATTGATCTGAGTTTTGGAGATTCTTAACTGGTTTTATTTTATTATTTTATTTTTATTTTATTATGTAGCTCATTCCTGTTACCAACTCTCCAGTGGATGGAGGGTCATTTGGCCAAGTGAAAGCTCCTCCCATAAAGATAACAAATGTAATTCTGCCTAGTGGATTTAGCCATTACTTGGGATCTGAACTTGGGATCTTAACTCCTGAAGCTGAAGGTATTTTGACAAAAAGTTTCAGAATGAATGTAAAAGCAAACACTTCATTTGAAAAAAAAAATCTCACATTACTTCCAATACTACTTAAAATTACATTTTTAAATTTATAGTTCCTAAGATTGCATGTTTGTTCAAGTTTCAAGTGGCCATTCTGATTTGAGAGTCAATAGTATTTCGGGGTTTTGCTCCACTCCTAATATGTTGTAACTAAACATTTGCTCCTAATGTGAACTTTGTGATACTTGCCCAGTTATTTTCTGAATTATTTATTTCAAAGGTTTTGTTTCATTTTATGTATTTCATAGCAAATAACTGCTAAAACCAATTCTTTTGTACATCCTGCTAAAAGTAGAAATCAGAGGTTTAAAAATATCTGTGCCAACACATTCTTGGGGTACAAAGAGAAGATCATATTTTATCCTTGAAACCACAAGTAAACCATGCAGCTCATACTAGAGATAAGTCTCAAGAGGTAGAGCTTGAAAGGAGGACGTATATTAAAAGGACAGGCATGGAAATGGTTTCTTCTATTATATACATTTTAATTCAGGCTTAGATGAAACCTATTCCCTAATTCCAGATCTTCACTGGCTATCTTTTTGGTGAAACTGGGGGTAGCCACTCCTGTCAGGGATCACCTCTTCCATTCCTTGTAACATCCCACTTTGCTTGGAACTGAACATCATGAATTTATAAAATGATCTAAGAGCCTACCAAGAATAGTAGATTGCTCTGTGTGATTATTTCAAAAAGAAACTCAGTTAAAAGAAACCCAAGATGTTATTGTTAAGATGTTACTTTTTTTTTTTTGCTTAACTTATTTTTCATACTTCTACATACTAAGTGGCTTCAAGATTTTAGTCACAGTGAGAACTTTTATGCTTTTGTCCAATAGATATAGCTATCAGTAAAATAGAACATAGCAAATTTTTAGCCTCCTTAACAGCACAATGTCCTCTTTGGGAATGGCATCAGTATCTTTTTTTTTCCTGGCTCTAGTTCAATCCTGGATTCATCTCCATAACATCCCTCTCAGATCTGTCTTTAAGATTTGTCTGTGACTATTTTTTAAGTTTTTCTTTAAGAGTCTTATAATTTCTCTCCTATCTTCTGGCTATATTGCCCCACTTTTTATTTTGAAAAATTATGGTCACTTTGTCTGTACATTGATTATAGCACACAGCTCTAGATATTAATATTTTTTAAAATTATCTAGAAATAATCAAATAGATTCACTAACTCAGAAATTTAGGTAGCATTGAGTGCTAGAAATATATTCCAATTCTATTCAGCTGAAGGGAAACCAAGCTTTGTTACTTAACTCATTTTATTACTTACTGCTTCTCATTGTCTCACAATTTCTAATTTCAGACAAAAAAAACAAGAATGCAGGGATTCTGACAAATAATCCTCGCAGTATCCATGCAGAAATAGCTTTTCGGCAACTCAGAGGGATAAATCTCTCTCCGTCTCTTTTATCACATCAGAATATGGCATCTCCAACTGCACAGATGTACCAGAGCAACCCAGATGAGGGAAGGTAAAACTATCCTGTGTTTTAATATCATTTCTCATCATTAAAAAAAAAACCTCCCCAAATTTGCTAGTCATGTATAAAAATAGGAAACATTATTATATACTATTATTTATTTACTGAGAGCTGGGGAAACTGTCAGATAGCATAAGGCTTCTTCTCCCACATTCACAAAACCTTTCCGAAAGTCCAGTATATCTACATCATAATTCAAAAAGACTTAGACATGGCTATCAAGGTAGAATAGTGCTCGACTAATGCTTCCATGAGGGAACACTGAAATAAACAATTGTAATTGTATTCTCTCTGAAGTCACTTCTCACTAAATATGCAAAGCAGTTCACTTACATTTTGAACAACACATAAATTCAACTCTGAAATCACAAAACACCAAGAATTTTGTAGATTCTTCAAAACTCTTCTTGTAGTTCCCACGTGCCTCTCCTCCAGTCTGGACCCTAGCCCTGGAGGCCAGCTCAGTGCCTAAGAACCCGCTACTTCTCTTGAAGAATTCACTTTGTTAAACACCTGTCCGCCTAGATTTCCAGTTATCACCTGTCCCCAGCTTCTTTGGAGCCAAGCTCCAGTTCGTCTATTAGTGACCTACTCAGCAGTAGATCTAGTAGGCCTGGCTCTTGCTGTACTGACTTCCTCCCTATTCTATTATCAGGATAGATATCAGGGTAACCTGATTCTTAAATGCCCAAAAATAGGATCATTTTCTCTATTGTACTGTCTTTTTGAAATTGAACACGTATAAATACAGAAGTTATTTACTGCAGAATTACCTTAAATTAGCTGATCCGTTAAGAAAATAAGTCTTATTATTTAACTTATAAATATTTTACTTCTGACAGAATTCCTGGCAGCCACTTTCCAAGATCAAATCGAATGTAACTGCCTAAAGAGAAATGAATATACACCAAGAAACTTATTTCTGTTTAGCAGTTGTACAAAAATCAGCAGACAGTGCTGGTGAAAAAATATATATGATAACCATGTTACTTATTTTACTGACGCACTTCATTTCCATATGATGATAATTTCTGTCACCTTGGTTGAATTTTATTTTAATATCACCTCTCTTCAACTTTCTTTATGGTTATCTTAATTGTTCATTTGAATTTCTATATTAGAAAAATCATGAACCATTGTATTATACAATTTGAAAAGATAGAAGTGGCATAAAACAAAGTCCAGAGAATCAAATATTCAATGCTGATATTGGAAGCATTTAGTTACAAACCCTTATTGTGGCCTGTCATATGAAGATACTAAGCAAAGGTAATTCTAGTAAGTTCGCATATTTTATTTGTTGAATATTTGTTCATTTGGAGTTACCTAAAACTAAAGTATACATTTCTTACCAAACACAGCTATTACTATGGCAAGCTGAGCTTTGCTCATTGAATTACAAACTAGTTTTTTAGGACTACAATGGGGGGGAAGTACCCTTAGGCCAGATCTATCCTAAAAATTGTTTAGAGATGCAAATTATGGGCATCAGTAGTACTTCCTGAAGGTGGCTAACTGCAGGTGCAACAGCGCATTCATGCTCTAAGAATGAAAAAGCACTATTTCAAATACAAAATGTGTTAATTGTACCCATAGTGATATAATTGTACAAGCAGTTTGAGGCTAAAAAGAACATATGTTCAAACTGAGTAGACACTTTTAAATTTGAGACCCTTAATAATTTTATTTCCCTGGAAATAAATTTTCTAAAATGTTACGCTGCATAGTACTAGGGCACATCACAAACCAATCAAATATGGTTTTGAATTTGATTGTTTTATTAAATACAGTTCCTTAAATTAATGACTAAATTGCCAATCATATTTTGATATAAATGGTCTCTACAATTCATGAATTATTCTACTAAAATTTTCTAAGTACTGGTTCAACACTGCACGTAGTTTTCATACTATTTTAGATGTTCCTTACATGAAAAGAAACCTTTACTAAAATATTTGTATTTTATAATCTATCTAGAAACAGGCTTAAAGATATTTTGGAAACTAATTCCAATGTGTTTGCAACAATTTTGTATCTTTTCTTCTTCAAATGCTGTATGTTTTTGATTTAATCATGTAATGCTTAAAATTTCAAACCTAATACAGATTGATTTTATACTTCTTAATGTGTGATTTCTAAACAACTGTTACTTTTAGGTGAAAATAAGATCCTTTGTTCAAAAAGCAACTCTGCAGTTCTTATGATGTCCAGAAGATGTCTTTGTTGCCCTTTAGTTTTAACAACTGCTTCCCTTACAGCACATGGATAGTGTCTACTGTTCATTCTTTGTTACTACCTCGGCATCGCCGGCTTTTTTTCCTTTAATGATAATGTACAAATGAAATACTGACTATATGCTCCTTTTATAATGAAAATTGTCTTTTTAAATAATAAACTGGGTGGGAAAAATAAGTACAACTAGCTTTCACTAGAGTAAAAGAATTTACAAGAATTAGAAAAATATAAAGCAGGAAAACATAACTCATTATTCAGCATCCACTTAACATTTTAGCATATTTTCTTCTAGCCATTTTTCCTATCCATTGGGAATATATTTGAGACGTATCATTTGATTTTTATGTAATACACAGTGTTAAATTTTGACATATCATTTCTATTATAAATTTTTAATTACATCTGATTTTCTTGAAAGAAGCAAATGAATTTGTAATACATAATTTGATAATAACATTAAAATAATATGAACATGTATTTAGGCATTACTAGGTGTCATACAGAAAATAGACACAGATCCAAACTTTAGAACATTTTAACATAGAACATGATAGGGGCGCTTGGGTGGCTCAGTTAGTTAAGTGTCCAGCTTCAGCTCAGGTCATGATCTCATGGTTCATGGATTCAACCCCATGTTAGGCTCTGTGCTGACAGCTCAGAGCTTGGAGCCTGCTTCAGATCCTGTATCTCCCTTTCTCTTTGCCCCTTCTCCACTCTCTCTCTCTCTCTCTCAAGAATAAAAACATTTAAAAAGGGGGAAACGTGACAAATAATTTCATATAAAAGCATTGAGGGGGGGATGATTACAAACAATTGGCACAGTTCTGAATTTTTTCTGCCATGACAGCAGATGACACTGACATGACAATCCCCTGGAAATGCCCAGATAGGTTAAGCTGTTGGTTATGTGCAGTTCATAAAACCATAGCTATAACTTCATCCCCTTCCTGTTCAACAAAACAAAAAAGTGTAATTGAACATGAGAGATGTTTTCATAGAAGTGACTTTAGATCTGCCCTAAGTTATTTAAGAAAGTAATTCACAAACTGAGCAATTTTAAGTTACAGTTACAAATTATTTGTAACATACTTCACAACTAATTACAGCACAACAGGCAAGTAGTGCTTTAAGTTTACAAACTACTTGCCCATATTTTACATGGTTTATCCTAATAACCACTCTATGAAGTAGATAAGACATTTATTGTCTCCATTTATAGATAAAGAAATTGGCTTAAGGAAAAGAGTAGATATCATACCAAATCCTAAGTTATTTTCAACTCCAAATTCATTACTTTTTCAATTACTACAAGTGAATTGACATTTAATTATTACTAATATGCTATGTAATCAGTTGTTGTAGAGCCCTAATGTATGTAAAAGCTATAAACTATTCATTATCTTCCAGTATACTTAGCTCAGGGAAAATGCATAATTTCTACAGTAAAATTAGTTCTTTGCTCCCAGCAAATGTCCTGACAGATTTATTTTCCATGCAGTCATATCCATAAATATAGGACTTGTTTTAAATTAAGAAACAATTCCACAAACAACCTTGAAAGCTAAAGTTAGGGCACTTTATAGGTTAGGAGCCTATAATGCTGAACTGAATACAGATGATGTCAAAGTGGTCTTCTGATTTCTGTAAATGAAGATTGACTATAATAATTATCCAATAAGAACTTCATTATTTACTTCTATTTGTATTGTTCTAGACCTCTCTGATTGTTGACACAAAATTAATTATGGTTATGCACATATTTTTGCCTAGAGTGCTTAGTATGCACTGTGTGTATGTTTGCAGGCACTTACGGCCAGTTTTAAAATAATCCTTGCATTTAAGTAACATGCCATTTCACTATTTATTCATAATATTTCATACATTATGAAAACTGTTTAATGTTTTAAAACATTAGATCTTACTGTTTGTCATGCTGTAGGCTCTTAGCTTCAATTAAATGCTACTTATATAAAAAGAAGTAAATTATTTATAGCTCTGTAACAGTAGAAGCAAGCACTTATGGCCAAGTGTTGGTTATTCAATGAATCTGATCAGATCAGTCTTTTTATGAGATAGAAACTGGCTGGGGTTTTTTTTTGTTGTTTTTTTTTTGATTCCTCCTGGTGTAATACTTAGAGCTTCTGGATGACCTCCAAGTGCTTAACTACTTTTCTTATTCATCTCTCTGCATTTACCTTCATTAATGGAATATTTTTAAAGATTTTTTTTTAAGTAATCTCTACACCCAACGTGGAGCTCGAATTTACAACCCTGAGATTAAGAGTCTCATGCTCTACCCACCTCTACTATAATATTTTTAAGGGAAAAGTATAAAAATTGCAATTTCAGCTCATAGTTGCATTTTAGAACTAGGTCAGCAAGAAGCACACAGTTATTTTATTAGTAATGTTTTATTTCTGGAAGTTTTTATCTTATAAAAATATGAATTATAATATTCTCTATTACTCTTTTTCTTTCATTTGTGAATAAAAATCCTTTGTAAACTACTGAAAAAACATTTCTCAGACCAAATTTGTGCATTTTTTATCTTGAAATTTTGTTTTGGTGATGATTTTTCCTTATAATTAAGATAAAATGAATGATTTTATAGCCAAAACATGAAATGCTGTAACCTCAAATAGAATAGTACATTCAAAGGAATTCAGAAGTAGCTTTGAAAGTGGTAATTATCTGAAATCAAATTATTTATCACTTATGTTTTACATGTTAGGCCATACTTTAACTATGTGGTCTCTTAGGTAAATCAAAAGGCCAATTCATCAACATCATTGTTTTCCATATAAAATACATGTGATTCTGAAATGCTAAGCTTAAAATTAGAATAGATTTTGCTTATATTGTGTCATTTAAAATAAGAGTATTCCCATAGGCTCTGAATAAAATTCTGTTAATTAACTTACAAATGTTTAAATATATTTCATACCAGCAGTTACATTGTTAAACATTACAAAGAGAAACAAAGGTTAGTGATGATCTTAACTATTTTTGTAAACCATTTAAGGTTACATTTATTTTTAAATAACTATTGGTTTTAAAGCTGTAGATTTTAATCAGGGATCTGCATGTTTTACACTTTGCTTATTTTAAAACATTTTTTCTAGAAAATGTTTTAGATAATTTTAGCAGTTTGGCTCTACTATTTGTTCCATTTTTAATTATAACATAATGCCCCCTTTTCCCCCAAAATGTTCTGCGAGTATGTTTCTCAAAGAACAACCAAAAGAGACTAATCTATAAAAAAAATATATCAATAACATTTTTAAGTTTCCAATTATTTCTTATTTCTTCCCATCAATTTGGCTGAAAACAGGTATTTACAAACACTGGTAGCCTACTTTCTTATGGTCTTTCATTTTTTTTATGAAGTGCTTTAAAAGAGTTCAATCAACCTTAATGGTGCATTTTTAGTTAAGGAAATAGAATGCGGAGAAGTCAATTTGAGCTCCCAGACGAACAAGTGTCTTGAGAAAGAATAGGCGTAAATGGGTTTAGAAAACAGGGAGAGTAGGAGTAAAATGCAGTGAGCAGAGCACTCAGGGAAGCCAGATACAATGGAAAGAGTAAAATACTGCAGAGCTTTTTAAGCTACATACAATCGGAACAATGGACTTGATCCAGCCATCTATGTTAAACTGTTAAAAGGTGAAAAGCAAGCTGGAATTCTATAAAGAGTGTTGAGGAACAGTAGAATGAAGAGCTTTAAATCTAAAGAGAATGAATGCAGTCATTCAACAGAATGGAA